GGCCTGTTTTTACTCATGAAAGCACTGATTATGCACATATTATATGCTGCACATAAGTGTTATGAGTTTTGTTTTAATGGGTTTTGTGGAGAATATAGACATCTTATTGGGCTCTATTTAAATTTGGATTTCCTTAACTTCTGCAATTATAAAATTGTGACCCAGCCACGGTATTTGGACATTGGAGCTGCTGCTGTGCAGGCCAAGCCCACCCTGAAAAACCAGGAGTGGAGGTGTGTACTTGTAGCTCCAACTGCTCCGAAGTCCGAGATAGGAGGACTCCGACACAGCAAGACCCTGTCTGAAAGCACCATGCAAGCCTGGCCCCATAGCATAGCAGGTAAGCCGTGTACAGAGGGAGCGCGATCCCATGGAGCCAGCTGAAGCTTGAATCCCAGCCCCAGGGCTTGAAAAACATGCTGTGAGTGCAGGTGTGTGTGACAAAAAATCCTGACGGCATAGAGAGACAGAGAAGAGGACTGTGGTGTGACCACACCCTGTTGGGTTTTTCCTTTTTTAAATTTCTCTCTCTGGCAAGTGTACATGCCCTCTGGCACCAAAAAAATAAGGGCAGCAGATGGCATGGAGGTTAAAGCATTGGATTTCACATGGCTGACTTCGTGGTTCAAGCCCCAAACCTGGTGGCTTGGAAATCATGCCAGGTGCGTGTATATGTGGGCCCAGGATTCTAAGAGGAGAAGGGATTGTAGCATGGTCACCTCCCATAGGGTGTGCATTCTCATTTTTCCTGTCTGTGTGGTCTCTCTCTCCAGCAAGTACACGCACCCTATGGCTAAAATCTAACTTTAAAAATAAAAATAAAAATAAACAAATATAAAGCACTATAAGCACACATGCACAAACACAAAATAAAATTGCCACCTCCTTTCTAGCCAAACTAACATCCTATTCCTTTATGTGCCATCTTCCTCTACTCTTCTTTGTGTGTATTTGTATATTATTTATATATGTTTGCTGTTCTCACAAATGTCGTTTGTGTTCCTTCTCTCCCTAGGAAATTCCTGCATGTTCATCTTCATCCCTGGCCTGTGAGCTCTCACTGGGTCTTGTTTAGCTTACAGTCCCATCTACTTTGGACAGCTCCTAAATGTGGGCAGTGTCTGAATAGTTGATCCCCCATTCACCATAGTTGAGGTATTCTTCATATGTAAAAGTTTAAAATTTGCTCTGGAGCCTAGTTTGATGTGCAATGTAAGTTTACTGGTCAACTATGTGTGTGGCGGTGTTGGTCAGGTCTAGGTGTGCTCACCTAGTTGTCCCAAATTTGCTACCTCCGCCAAAATTCTTAAGATAGTTTTTTGTCCAGTTGCCATGCATGTAATTTTCCACCCTTCTCTGGGGCAGGCCATTTTGGACCCTTTCCTTTCTTCGCCATGGTCCTTGCCCTGGTGCAGGCCTTTCCTTCCCTTGCCCATGCTCAGCTGCAGTCTTCTGTCTCATGCTGGCTAGACGTCCTAGAACACTTGTGCTTACACCTCGGTGATGGGAGCTGTTGCAGTGTTCTGCTCAGCTCAAAGGTGGCCCGTGGCTATCATGGCTGCTGACGGAGCCCTTGAAGAGGGCATACGTGAGAAACAGGTTACACAGAGCTTGTTCTCTCTGAACTGACAGCATGAACTTCCCCCCCTTGTGACAACAGCAAAGTTTTCTACTTTCAAAGTTCAAAAAAGAAAGTGTTCATACTGATGTAGTCATCATATGCAGAAAACTTTTATTTTTTAAGAGAGATTTATGCTATAGAGCATGTGTGCTTGCCAGAGAGAGAGAGACAGTGAGAAATCACCCACCAGGGGGATGGCCATGCCGCAGTCCCTTCTCCAGGCTCTTCTCAGGATCTGGGGCACGCAAACATATGTACCTGGTGTAAGTTTTAAGCTGCTGGATGCAGAACTCAGACCATGGTTGACTACGTGGGATTCCAGAGACGTAACCATTAGACCATGTGCTGGTCCCTGCAGAAAACTTTAATAAATGGAATTATTCATTTATGGAGTAGTCTCCATAAATTTTTTTAAGGAAAATTTTGTTGTTTCTTAGAAGATAACAAACTTTTCTGTTTTGAATCTGGTCTTCTGTCACATCTCTGCTTTTTTAGATTTTTTGCCATAGGGTGTGTGCTCTTACCAGAGCGAGACAATGAGAGGGAAGGCAAGAAATCAGCCTCCAGGGAGGACAGCGACACTGCAAGCCCTTCTTCTTCATCCTCCTCTTGGGACTTTGGGAACACATGCACACTCACTTGGTGTGTGAGAGAGAGACAGTGAGAAATCACCCACCAGGGGGATGGCCATGCCGCAGTCCCTTCTCCAGGCTCTTCTCAGGATCTGGGGCACGCAAACATATGTACCTGGTGTAAGTTTTAAGCTGCTGGATGCAGAACTCAGACCATGGTTGACTACGTGGGATTCCAGAGACGTAACCATTAGACCATGTGCTGGTCCCTGCAGAAAACTTTAATAAATGGAATTATTCATTTATGGAGTAGTCTCCATAAATTTTTTTAAGGAAAATTTTGTTGTTTCTTAGAAGATAACAAACTTTTCTGTTTTGAATCTGGTCTTCTGTCACATCTCTGCTTTTTTAGATTTTTTGCCATAGGGTGTGTGCTCTTACCAGAGCGAGACAATGAGAGGGAAGGCAAGAAATCAGCCTCCAGGGAGGACAGCGACACTGCAAGCCCTTCTTCTTCATCCTCCTCTTGGGACTTTGGGAACACATGCACACTCACTTGGTGTGTTTTTCTGTTTTCCTTTTTTTTTTTTTTTTTTAAGATTTTTGCCATAGAGTATGTATTCACCAGAGAAAGAGAGAGACAATGAGAGGTAAAGTGAGAAATCACCTCTGAAGGAGGATGACCATGTAGCAGTCCCTTCTCCATTCTCTCCTGGGATTCTGGGCATGAACACAGGAGTGCTTGGTGTGGTTTTTCAAGCTGCCAGATCTGGTACTCAAACTATGATTGGTCATGTGGGAGTCCAGTGTCTCAACCACTACTCCACCTGCTGGACCGCACCCAGCATGTTTTACAAGCCACTAGGTCCAGGACTTGAACTACAGAATTAGCCATGTGGGATCCAGCACCTTAACGGCCATGCCATCTGCTGGCTCCACATCTGTTGTCTAATAATGGGAGATAGTGAAAACTCAGAAATAGGGCTCTGAGTGGTGACCCTCTTCCTTTTTCAGTTTGCCACGTTGTCTTGATTCCACTTTGCACGTCACTGTATTGTCTAAGCTGCACCGAAATAGCAAGAGGTGGCATTATATCTAACTCAGCTGGCTCACTCTGCTGTTATAATTACTACTACTTGTGAAATCTAAAAATTAAAAGTTTAAACAGATGCCTGTGGTGCTGATATAATATGGCTGAAGTGCCACTAGAAATGCATGCAAGCAGAAGTGCTATGTTTAATCATTCAGAAGTACATCGGAAATGGATGTTAACTGTGAGCAGTATAGATGTTCTTGGTTTGATAAGGATTACAGTTTAATTCACCCTTACGTCTTTATCAAAACAAAACCCAACCATTTATAGAATCATCATTAGTATTACAACTGTTCATCTTTGGGGGGATAAAGGTAAACGAAGAAGTGGCTTTTCCTTTCCTTTTCTTTTTTTTTTTTTTGGAGAGGTTTTTTGCGGTAGGGCGTGTGCGCTCGCCGGACAGACAGAGAAACAGAGAGATAGAAAGCGAGAAATCACTCCCCGGGGGGATGGCCACACCGCAATCCCTTCTCCTCCATTCTCCTCTTGGAATCTTGGGCACGCACGCACACACACCTGGCATGAGTTTAAGCCACCGGTCTGGGATGCGATCCGTGGTCGACTACATGGGAGTTCAGCGACATAGCCATTACGCTAACTGCTGGTCCCAAGAAGTGGCTTTTATGATCCCAGTGTATAGACCTGAGTGGCAGGGACCATGTCATACTTGGGTACTCCTTGGAAGAGCAAGAGGAAGCAGGTCTGAGAGCAGGGGCTTGTGTGCTTACTCAGTGATGCCATGGCATTCTGACCTCACAAAGGATAGGATAGGTACTCTATATGTGTATATCACATGTTTATTTTTCTGTTAAAAGCATAGAAACAGTTGAGTACAAAATGACACTATTTTTGTTAAAGAGCTCATGCATTCTGTTAGGACCTGGGCATACATGTATGTGTGTAGCATGCTTTTCAAGCTGCTATGGTTGAGATTTTTTTGTTAGTTTGTTTTTTGGTTTTTGGATTTTTTTTGAGACGTTTTTGCTATAGGGCGCGTGCGCTTTCCAGAAAGACAGAGACAGAGACAGCAAGAAGTCACCCCCTGGAAAATGGCCTGCTGACGACGTGACTGACGCTTGAGAACCGGCCCGAGCGAGCATTCATCTGCTGTGTGGCTGTACTTTATTAACTGACCCGAACAGCAGCTCCTCTCTTCCCTGTAAGGACCAGCTGCCATCCCCCTTTGAGACTTGTGTGCCCTCTGCCGCCCTCTTTGCCTTCTACACTTGTCAAGCGGAAACGAAGAGCTAAGCATTCAGTTTCCAAAACCAAATTGCTTCAGATTTTCCATTAGTAGAGATCTGAAAATAAGACTCTCGTGACAAGAAATCTCACGTGCAGTTAGGGCTGTGCCAGGTAAGCTAATACACTACTATACTGGAACCCTTGTGTTCCGGGAATATGAAGTCGCCGTTGGGCAAACCCTACAGGGATTTTTATAGCAGTGTGGCTGTGGACATTCGCCACCTGTAATAAATATGAAAAGATTAAGAGAAGAAATAAAATGGACTGCTAATGTCGAACATGCAGGGAAGGTCCCAGGACACGGGCCAACATGTGGGAGTCATCCTTGGCAATGGGTGTATCGGACCCTCTCCCCGGGCGTCAGTTACAGAAGAAATCAGTCCACAACTTCTAGTAGGAAGCAGCTGTGCTGTCACTATTTGTCGTGTCTCTTTTGCTTCTGTTGCTAATTTTACCTATTTGGTTCCAGGAAGGGTTTTCACTGATTGGGAGCAAGGACTGGCTGAAGGTCGTAAGGCGCATGGACTGTCTGCTGATTGGACCAGTAGTCAAGGTAAGCTAGAGCTGGCCGTGTGACCACCTCTTCTGAGGGAATGAACACACTTATATTTTGAGTGTTTTGGACATGGGGGTGTGGGAGCATCTCTTGATAGGTGAGGTGGCACAGGGCAGCATACACGTGTTTAAGAAAGGTTGGCGTGAGCAAAACAAATGGCTACAGAGAGGCAGAAGCCTGCTTAGCAAGAGGTCGATGCTCCACAGCCAGGCTTCGCTGGCTTTGTGGAGACGTGTCTGAGCGGGGTCACGTTCTCCATCCCAGGCACCAGCTGGGGGGAGGTGGAGCGCATCACTGCTGCCTTGCTGTTTAGACATCTGAGAGGTGATATTTCAGATGCTTCACTGGGTAGCTTTTCATTTTTTCCTCTCTAGTATTAGAAAATGAAATGCTCTTATTTGCTTTCTAGATGCATTAAAAGTAAAGAATGATCCTCATCAAAGAAACATGCAGACTAATCACCTGGGTGATTTTCTTTCAGAAATAAAAACCAATCTGTTCCCATTCACTGAGTAGATAATACTGAAATTTGGGTGAAAGGTGCTAATTCTTAATGGACTCAGACTGAGAGTTGGGAGAGGTCTTTCAAAACACCTAGTTGAGAACTCTTAACCTGGGGTACACAGATACCCCCAAAGTTTGCTCATAGAATTTGGGGTCCATGAACTGGCACAGACACTCACTGACCTCTGTTGAAATGTTTCCTTGCCCTCCATTTATGAATGTCGACCCCAGGCCACTTTCTCACCGTGGAAATGAGAGATTCCATCCTGCATCCCAGTTGTCCGGATACTGCACACATCATGTGTGCTCATTGTTCTGTGTAACTTAAGGTGGTTGCTGCTCTGAATGCGTTAACAAAGCAGCGTGTATGGTATTAGTTCAGATTAGTTTAATATTTTAACCAACTAATTCAGTATAACTGATTTCCTTTGTCATTGTATATGCTTTATGTGATTTAAAACAGTGTTCTGAGAAGGGATTCATTGGTGCACCAGACCTCCAGAGAGGTCTTGGGCACGCACTCTCAAACACAGAAGAGCCTCTGTTTCCCTTTTCCTTTTGCATATTGGGAAGCTGAGTTTGACTTAAGCCAGTAGCTACAGTTACGACCAGCTATGAGAGAAGCGGCTGCCATTGGTCTTGGGACTCCTGGTCCCAGCCTATGTCATGCTGAGTGGATGTAGAAATCTTTTACAAAGTTACACTCCGCAGGCTGGCTCATGGTAACACCTGCTCAGGAGAAGCTGGCTCCCACATGGCCCCTACTGTCTGACCCCTGGCCTGTTCACCCTGAAACACGCTGGGTATGTGTGTGAGTGCTCAGGATCCAACAGGTGGAAGGAAGGGGATCACAACGTGACCAGACCCTGTGGAGGGTGCTGGCGTCTCTCTGTGTCTCTCACACATATTTGTACTTTCTCATAAAGCAAAAACAACCAAAAAAAAAAAAAAAGGTTTTAGAGGGCCAGCTAGTGGTGTGGTGGCTAAGGCAGGAGGATCCCTCATGGCTGGCTGCATGGCTTGAAAAGCATACCAGGTGTTTGTGCTTGTGTGCCCCAAATTCCGAGAGGAGCATGGAGATGGGGTTGCAGTGTGCCGTCCCTCCTGGGGGGGGCGCTCATGGGCACATTTTTATGTGTGCTCACTTGCTCTCACTCTCTCCACTGAGCTCATGGGCCCTATCACAAACTTAAAAAAAAAGTTTTAATTAAAAAAATTATACCACAGTAGTATGTTTGATATTTAAGGTTTCTTTTTTTAAAATCATATATTATTAAACATTTTAACTATAAAGGACAAAATAAAAATCAACCCTAATTTGACCACTCAGATAACCATTACGAACACCCCTGTGTGTGTGACCTGAACCCTGATGGGATGCAGAAGTGGAGAGGAGAGTGCAGCATGACCATACCCATGGGAGTGTTTTCTCTTTCTCTGGTGCCTGGGCCCTCTGGCAATTAAAAACAGTTGTCACGCAGGTCATTTATAAAGCGAGGGTGGTTGCACTTTGTATCCTACTCTTTGATCAAGTGACACGATGTCAGGACATTATACCAAGTCACTGTGTAATCTTTTAAAACACTCCTGGTGGCTAATGCCATGGCAAGGTTTCCATGTACCAAAACTAACCCCCATCCTGGTACTACTGTGGAAGGTTTTGCTATTCATAAGGACTGACTGCTAGAGTTCTTGAGGTAGTGGTCCTAGAACCATGGCATTTCTTGTGTAAAGCTGCCCTCCAGATTGGAGATCCCTGTTTCCAGTGCACCAGTAATGTGTAAGAATGTTCATTTACCCCAATCCTCTCTAATAGAGTGATAAAACTTAAATTTGTAAGCCTATTTCCAGACCAGCCCCATAGCTCAGGGGTTAGAGGAGCCAGATCCTACATGGGCAACTGCAGTTTAAATCCAGGCCCGGTGGCTTAAAAAACTGGGTATGTGCCTCAAATCCTGACAGAATGAAGGAGAGGTTGCAGTGTAACCATGCCCGGGGGGATACTTTCTCCCTCTCCCGCCTCGCCCCCCTCTCTCTCTCTCTCTCTCTCTCTCTGGTAAGTGCACGCATCATCTGGTAATTTATAAATAAACAACAACAACTAATTCCTAGTCTATTAGGTAGTAATGAGGATCTTTCTTTAATTTGCATTTCTTTGATAACTAATAAAAATGCAAATTTTTGGTAGACATCTGTATTTTTTAAAAAAGAATAATTTGACTTCATTTAACTTTATTTTGACCAGGGAGGGATGGGGAGGAGGTGAGAAAGGAAGCCACCAGGTCCAGGACTCGAACCACAGTCAGCCACGTGGGAGTCCAGTGCCCTTAACCACCATGCCACCCACTGGCCCTGACCTCTGTATTTCTTGAATCACCTTCTTTTGCCTAACTTGTTTTTTCTTAAGAGTATTTAGATGTTATACATGTAACTTGTGTAGTTACATAGTTTGTTACATATTATGTTTGTGTGTGTTTATCATACATCATATATAGATTCCTTAGATATTCAAGGCTAGGAACCTTTGCCTGTTGTTGTTTTTGTTATTCTTCATCTCAAAGATTTCTTCCAGATAGTTAATGTTTTTGTTCTGAATTAAATTTAGCTTCTTGGGAACCAGCAGTTAGCATAATGGCTATATCGGTGGACTCCCACGTAGTCGACCGCGGTTCACGTCCCGGACCCGGTGGCTTAAAACTCACGCCGGGTGCGTGTGTGTGCATGCCCAAGATCTCGAGAGGAGAATGGAGGAGAAGGGATTGCGGTGTGGCCATCCCCTCTGGGGGGTGATTTCTCGCTTTCTGTCTGTCTCTCTCTCTGTCTGGCGAACGCCCCCTAGAGTGAAAAGCTCTCCAAAAAAAAAAAAAATTTAGCTTCTTTACTATTTTTTTAAGAGAGATTTTTGCTATAAGGATGTGTACACTTGCTAGAGAGACAGACAGAAAGCGAGAAATCACCCCCCAGAGGGGATTGCCACACCAGTCTCCTGTCCTCCATTCTCCTTAGGATTTGGGGCAAGTATGCACACATGCCTGGTGCGAGGTGGTTCTTTTTCTTTTTTAAGAATTGCGTCCATTACTTATCATTATTGTTATTTTTTAATCTGACCAGAGTGAGACACAAAGAGAGAAAGCGAGCTGCCAGGTCCAGGACTTGCACTGTGGTCAGCCATGTGGGAGTCCAGCGCCTTTAACCACCATGCCATCTGCAAGCTGCCAGCTCTGGGACTTGACTACATGGGAATTCAGCAACGTAACCATTACACCATCTGCTGGTCCCTAACTAAACTTTTATCAACCCTAATTTTTTTTCTGGGAAACTAATTTTGTAATTCACAATGATAACTGTGTTTGTTCTCAGTGATTCTTATTTTTAGTACTTGGCCCACTTTGCTGACTATGTACACCTTTCAGAACATTGTGATTCTCCAGTTAAGGTAGCTTCCTTGATGTCGTCTTGACTGTCAGGAAAGTACTTGAGGTCAAGTGCATCTCTGGGTGTTGCCTGAATATTCTTTACCATGTGAGGGAGATCGTTTTTCAGTTTATTTACTGATACTTTTTATCAGCATTACATACTTTTTAATCGCCAGAGGGTGCATGTGTTTGCCAAAGAGAGACCAAAAGGGAGAGGTAGAAAGTACTCCGCGGCGGGGGCTGGCCACAGCAGTCCCTTCTCTGTTTCTCCTCCTGTCAGGGTTTGAGGCATGCACACACGTGCCTGGTGTGTTTTTCAAGGCAGTGGGACCAGGGTTTGAACCCCACAGTTGGCCATGTGAGATCCAGTTTCCTTAACCACTAGACTGTGAGGTGGGCCCCTATGTAATTGTTTATCCATTTTTTTTTCCTTTTTTTTGGCCATCGGGTACATGCACTCACTGGCAAGAGACAGAGAGGAAAAGTGAGAAATCACCCCCCAAGGCGGTATGACCACACTGCAATCCCTTCTCTTCCTTTCTCCTCTCAGGATTTTGGACACACATACACACACTCACAGAGTCAAGCTGCCTGGTCTGGGACACAGACTGCCGCCAACCATGTAAGAGTCCAGTGCCTTAGCCACCTTGCCACCTGCTGACCCTCAAATGCTTTTTAATACCTACACACATTTTTTTCTCCTTTTATCTGTTGCCTCCTGTAATATATCACTACTGAGCCAACGCTCGTCTTCCTAGCTAGAGAAAAGGAATCGCTGGTGCTTCTTGCCTGGGATAACTTTAGTTACCAAATACTATGCAACAGACCGGAACTTATCCTTAACTTTTGTTCCTCAAGGTCGGCATAGAAGGGAATTTTCTGTCAGTTGTTACAACTTGGAACTGCTGAGGCAGGGTGGGTACAGCTGCTGTTGCACTGCAGTAACTGCCTGGTGTCCTTAGGTGATGGGAGCCGGAGCCACACATCTGGGGCGGCTCATGACTGTTACTCGAACGCTTTTCATTCACAGCAGACAGCTTTCTGACTTTTAATTATGGCATAAAAATAGACAGTCCT